AAAATAAATTTATTTTGAATTTTAATGAACTAAACGTTCACCAAAAACTTTAGTGAGAAAAATCGAAAAAACGAACTACAAACATATTAACGCCAAACATTCGGTAGAATTTATAGAATATTGTAAAATATATATATATATATATATATATATATATATATATATATATATATATATATATATTCTAGATATATGATACAATCATACAGATAAATTAAACAATAAAAAATTAAAATGAAGTAAATTGAAACAACAAATTTAAAAGGAAGTATACATATAAGAACGTTTCATAAAAGCAAAAAATTAATATTACAATTTTACAAGCCATGTACATATAAAATGTAATTACATTCTATATACATGATATATTCTAGATACATGATACAACAATCAATCAATCAATCAATTAGCTTATAAAGCGCTATTTCCGCGATGTTCAACAGCGCTCCTCAATGAATTTTGAAAACAGATGAGTCTTGAGATCCGCTCTGAACTTCGCAAGTGATGGAGAAGTAGTCAGAGAAGTAGGTAGAGAGTTCCAGAGAAAAGGACCAGAAAAAGCAAAAGCAGATTTGGCAAAAGAGTGTTTAACACGAGTTAAGAAAAAGCGAGAAGTAGAAGACAATCGTAAAACATAACCATATAGATAAAGAAATATGAGTCGTAAAACAATAAAAAAATTAAAATAAAGTAAATTGAAACAAAAAATTTAAAATGAAGTCATAAATTGAAACCAAAAAGAAAATACGACTCAAACAACGCAAACGCTTCTTCCCTTGCGTAGTAGTACATTTTAGGTGTCTTGGGATGGAGGTTTTATTTTGATAAATTGGTTGGATGGTAATTGTGTTTCTGTTAACGTTGACCAAAGACTTGATCAAAAACTTACCTACTGATACACTTACATTGTTCCTATCATTACTTTAATGCACTTAACTACATACTGTGTTAAGTTACCCTCAGCCTTAGTAAATAATAAATTTAAATAATGTGATATGAAAATAAAATTACTCTCAACTAATGTAATGAATGTATGTATTTTGTATTTTACATAAGCACGTGTGTTATGTGTAAACCGCATGTGTGTTGCCAGTGCAAAAAATTAAAGAAGAGATAAAAACATAAACAGCTTACCGATTTAACCAAATTAATGTTGTATGTGTTCTACCTATCCTAACAACAATTAAAATTATCCTTATCTAACCTACCTAACTTACCAATGTTCACTAAATTAACTCAATTATTCATTTCAATTAGCTCAACTTACTTATTAATTCTACCTATTTGTACGATTACGATGAAAAAAGAAAATAAAAGAGGATAAAACATCAAGCAAACAAAACAACGAATGTATGTATGTGCGTGTGTGTGTGTGTGCAAACTCTATATAACCGTGCAGTAATAAAACTCTATATAGCCGCGCAATAAATAAAACTCTATATAACCGCGCAATAAATAAAACTTTACATAACCGCGCAAAAAAATTCTATATAATGAACGTAAAAAAAATGACATCAGACGCCCCTGACCATGTGCCGAGGGACATCTTATCTGTCTTCGACGTTTTTTCGGCTCCTATTTATACGATTTTCATTCATACATTCTCGACATTTCAATCGTTATTATCAATAATATGTTTGTTTGATGTATGCAAAACATACACACAAAATACATGCTTAACGACAATATACTAATATTTATTCTAGTTATGGGATAGTAACTATACAGGAAGAAAATTAAGGAACGTCACCCTAACTTCCTGATTGGCTCGTTTGGTTTGAACACCGGATAACGTACACACGCAATTTATAATATTTTTATTTAACTATTAAAAAAATTTATTATTTAAAAAATTATTTTAGATACTTTTATTTTAATTTAATTTATGAATGTACAAGTAAATGTTTGTGTATATGCCTATATATATATCATATTCATTCATTTATTCATTCATACATTCTTTCGTTCATCTACTTCCTTCCAATTTACTTAAAGAATTCTCTTCAATATTTTATCCAATCATTCTCAAATTAGTTAATTTATCTCTTTCCACCTCTAAATTTCCTACTTCTTATAAGAATTCTATTGTTATTCCTATTCTTAAAAACACATCCCTAGATCCTACCTCTTTATCTAATTATAGACCTGTAACTAATATTACTTTCATCTCTAAAATAATAGAAAAAGTTGTTTTTAATCAACTCTCATCCTATTTAGACTTTAACTCTTTGCTACCTGTATCTCAATCTGGTTTCAGACCTGCTCACAGTACTGAAACTTCTTTACTTAAAATACACAATGATATCCTTCTCTCTAGTGACAATAATAATCTTACTCTTCTTCTTGCTCTTGACTTTTCTTCAGCTTTTGATACTGTTGACCATACTATTCTCTTGAGACTGCTGCATCTTTCTTTTAATATTACTGATTCTTGTCTATCTTGGTTTTCTTCTTATCTCTGTAATCGTTTTTCTTCTGTTGTTCTCAATAATTCTACTTCTAACTCCTCTACTCTTACTTTCGGGGTACCTCAGGGTTCTATCCTTGGCCCTCTTCTATTTATACTCTATACTTCTGAACTACCTCGTATTATTAATAACTTTTCTTTCTCTAGTCAACTATATGCTGATGATTCTTACATTTATACTTCTTTTCCTCCATCTAATCTCAATAGTGTTTTCATAATTTATCTCTATGTCTTTCCTTCATTATCCGTTGGTCTAACTCTATGTGTCTTAAACTTATTCCTTCTAAGTTTGAATTAATTTGTTTTAATAAATCTAAACACTCTATTACTATTCCTCCTATTATCTTACCTGATTCTAAAACTCTTGATGTCTCTCATAAGTTTCGTAGTCTAGGTTTTATCTTTGATTCTACTATGTCTCTCTCTTCTCAGATTAATAGAGTTGCTAGAAGCTCTTACTTTCATCTACGTAGAATAAAAAAACTTTTGCCTTTTCTTGATGATCCTACTCTTCTCCTTCTTGTTACTTCGTTGGTCTTATCTAGGATTGATTATTGTAACTCGCTCTACTATGGTCTTCCTGACTCTATACTCTATCCTTTAAGTAAAGCTTTTAACTCTGCTGCTCGTCTAGTTGCTCGTGCCCCTTTCTTTTCTCATATATCTCCATATCTTGTTCTTTTGCACTGGCTACCTATAAAATATAGAATAATTTTTAAAATTTGCACGTTCATGTATAAGTCTCAATCTAAATTATTTCCTAAGTATTTATCAGATATATTAATTGAACCTAAACGCCCCGGTTTACGATCGTCTTCTTCTTCTCGCTTTTTCTTAACTCGTGTTAAACACTCTTTTGCCAAATCTGCTTTTGCTTTTTCTGGTCCTTTTCTCTGGAACTCTCTACCTACTTCTCTGACTACTTCTCCATCACTTGCGATGTTCAGAGCGGATCTCAAGACCCATCTGTTTTCAAAATTCATTGAGGAGCGCTGTTGAACATCGCGGAAATAGCGCTTTATAAGCTAATTGATTGATTGATTGTTTGATTGATGTTACAACTTCAGCATGGTTTCGAAGCAAGTTATTATTCTATTATTCCAGTATAAAAAAAATCACATGTAAGTTGATAAAAAGTCTTCAAAAAAAATTAAAACAAAAATAATACGATTGTTTTGATGTTTCATACATGGATATATATATATATCTATCCATGGTTTCATATTAAAATTTAAAAACGATGTATCAAAAAATGTATTGTAATCTCAGTTAGTTTATTAACTTGAAAATATTTGTGTGAATTTAAAGGAAATATTTATTAGAACTTTTGATTCCCCCGCTCTTGTACTGAAATTTCAGGTTTTTGTGGCAGTCGAAGGTGCTAGGCCCATGCTTCTGTTTTTCAATCATCACTGAATCTATGATGGCTCCACCCTTCCATTGTAACAGTTAACAACAGCAATTAGCAATATTTAAATTTATAAAAACTTTGCCAACTAAATCAATCAGAAACAGTAAGATTGCCAAGTAAAATTATGGTTTTCTATGATTTATGTTAATTATTATAAAAAAAATGTTTCCTGCCTTTATTGCAGCTAAACAACAAAGGAGTAAGGCCCAATAAAAAATTGAATGATTGATGGATTCTAGTAAGTCTGGCCTATGTTTGAAAATTACTTGATATTTAACTAGAAAACAGATTATTGCCTTCAGCCAATCGAGCTTGGTGCAAATTAAATTGTTCTTGAGTATATGTTTCTTGCGATAAACATGATGATTAGAGTTGAAATTAAAATGTAACCTCAGAAAAATATATGATGGGTAATCGGAACAAGCGCCAAAAAACCGACACTAACCTTATCAACGGACACTTGATCAAGAGACAGATGAGTTTTGTTCAGAATCTTTCGATATGAAAATTAATGTAAATTGAAAATCATATTACAAACATGAGTTTTGCTCAGATATTTAAAATAAAACATTAGCGAATTGATAATCATGTTGTATACAGCAATACTAAAACAACGAAAGTTGAACATTTTCCTCTTGCGAATGAAAGTGGTAATTGGCGTGAACGAACGTTTCAAATGGGATATGTTGATTGTTCAGAATAGTGATGAATGAACGAACGAAAGAATTAATTTATAGAAAAGTAACCTTCATGACTGTGTAACCATAATCGTCACTTTGGAACGCTGACCACGGATACGGAATCTTTATGAAAGGGTCCACGCCTTCCTTGCACCCCTGCGTTGTAACAGAAAATAGAAGAAATATTTATTGAGCGCAAATGTATCAACTTTGAAAAATTTTAAAATTTAATAATTTTCGTGACTGTTTAGGTGAAACAAATCTTATATTAATATCAATATCGAATGATGAGTACAATGAATTGTGTTTTTCTGATGACTGAAATGAACAGGAATTGAAATATACCTACCCCAGACCCGCTGACAATATGAACAGGAGCCCTCGGATTGACGTACGGACGTTCAGCGCTGCCGTTGCAAACCTGTGAGAACATTAAAAAACGTAATGCAACCTTTCACAATAAAAAAATTACATGTTTAAAATATTTTGGTTTCATTAAATTATTCAATTAAAATATTTATCCCGAACAATTACACGGGTGGCAGGCAAGATGGTCTAATGGTTATAGCGCCTGGTGCTATGGTGGTAGCCACCGGTTCGACCGCCTACACATGCGATGTGTCTTATCCGTCGAAGTTGTTCATCAACATGAGGTTGGAGGTAATAAGGGAAAATTGTAATGGAAAGTGGTCTATCGTGGAGTGGAGCAAGTCAGGCTTGTAGGGGGTCGGAAAAAATGTCGAACGTTAAAAATTAAAGTGGTATGTCCACGTGGTAAAATATTGCTGCCCATCAAATAAATAAAAATAAAAAATAAACAACAATATATAAACAAATTAATATATATATATAAATCTGTAATAAAAGTAGGGAAAAAAGAAAATATACAGTGAGATTGTAGACCGGCCACATCCTCTCATATGAATGTTCGTGAGCTTGGAAATGCAGGTCGACGCCGTACTTGTAGAGTAGGTCTTCGATGTTGTACTCGTGATTCATGGGCAGGCCCACACGGATCTGAACGATGGCGGTGTGGTTTCTTCATTTGTCGTATTAATAGTTTTAGATTGTTGTTGCGAAACGCAGTAGCAGTAATAGTACAAAGGGGGATAATGTTTTAAAAGGTTATGAAGCAGAATGAAAAATTTTATGTAGAGAACATAAATAGCATTTAACACATCACGGACATCTTACCTGACTTTTGAATTCAATTTTCATTGTCTTGGTTTTATTTTGAAATCTATCATGTCTTTTTCTTTACAAATTCATTTTGCTACAAAATCTTACCTTCATCTTCGTAGAATAAAAAAAACTTACACCTTTCCTTGATGATCTTACTATTCTGTAACTCGTTACTTCGTTAATTTTATTTAAAATTGATTATTTTAACTCGCTTTATTATGCTCATCCTTATTCTACCCTATCCTTTAACTAAAGCTTTTAACTCTGCTGCTCGTCTGGTTGTTCGTGCGCATCTCTCTTCTCTCAGGCATCTTGTTTTGTACACTTGTTACCTATAAAAAATGGAATAATTAACAAAATTTGCACATTAATGTACGAGTCTCAATCTAAATTAGCTCCCAAGTACTCATCAAATATTTTAATTCGACCTAAACGCCCGGTCAACAATCGTCTTCTCGTTCTCGTTCCTCTTCTCAATTTCAGTTAATATTCTTACGTTAAATCAGCTTTTGCCATTTCTAGTACTTTTCTCTGGAACTCTCTTTCTCCTTTACTAGCAACTTCTTCATCCATCCATCCAACCATTCGACCAACCAATTATCCAACCAACCATCCAACTAACCAACCAACCATATTTTCAAGATTGGGGCAGTGTTCAGGATCGTTGCTGTTGGAGCAGTACATAGGTCGGTGGCACATGCTGATGATCCAAGGACGCTTGGCTCTGTTCGAGGGCTTGTTGGCTTCCTGGCAGGTAATTCACAATTTAAATAACTGGCGTCATGTTAAAAAGTAATAATTTATTTTATTTGTAAGTTTTGACTCGCTTCAAAAAAAGATGAAAACAAAATAATATTAGAATGTTTTTGTAAACAATACAATAATATTTGTTAATCATGGTGAGGTCAGATTAAAGAATATCCTTCAATAACAAAAATAAATTAATTCAATAAATAAAATGAATTAAAAATAAAATTTTAATTTTATGTCGACGACGTTTCATAGCGGAAAAGAAGAGCATGTTGTGGTTAAGATAACTGAAGTCTAAGGTGAATGATGAAAACGTGTGTAATGAACATTAAGATTGTTGTGATTCAACGTAAATGAAAATGAATGAGACGCAATGATTTGCAACCTGCAGGTCCCTGATAAGCCACTTGTACTGTTCAACAATTTGCGTCCAACCGTAGGAGACGTAGTAATAAAATTCAGACGAGAATGAAACAAGGTGCACTGGCCCGACATCAAAACTGCGCAGACATTCAACATTGAATCGTTTAAAGTTTAAGATACTAGAATCGTGCATAAAGAAACAAATTGAAGATCTTTTAAAAAGTTTAATTTATTAATAATTTTAATAAAACTCCGTTACCTATAGAACATTGCGTTGCCATCTCCACCGTATTTGTTGGGCATGGTGAATCGGCTCTTATAGTTGGAAAAGTTACTTTTGTAAAAAAAAAAAAATTTTTTAAATTGAATATACAAAAAATATATTCATTAAAATTACATTCAAAATATTTTGCCACAATAATAATTAAATCATCAATTGAAAACGTTTAAAGGCGTGTTTCCTGAGTCAGATGTTTATCATAGGGCACATTTTTGAAAAACCTTCAGCTCTATTCATCTCTATTTCATTAACTCAGTGCCCATTCAACCTTTTATTTTTCTAAATAGGCTCTATCTCTTCTGCCTCTGACATTTCCATGACATTCTTTTCCGATTGAACAGTTTCCTATAAACTCCCTCCAAATCTTAGTCCTCTTCTTTGAATCTAAAGCATTGTTAGCAGCTAATTTTTTACGATCTTTACTTCTTTAGTCCTCTTCTTTGGATCTAAAGCATTGTTAGCAGCTAATATTTTACGATCTTTACATTTATTTGAATTTTACCCCATTTCTTCGCATTTTTATTTCTTTGTTATCCTTTTGGACATTCAGTAAATGTCAATCAATCATCGTTTAGCGTCCAGAGACCCAGTTCTCCCTAGGTAGGACGTTGTTGGACGTTGACCCCACATTCAGTAAATGTGGTAGTATAAATTTATACATTAAAAAATCAAAGACTTAAAATAATTTTCGTATAGCCCAACTTTTACATAACCCTCTAAAATAATATTTTTTCTACCAAGTTTAACTTCATTAACAAAGGCGCCAAAAATTATTATTTTAATAAATTAAAAAATAAATAAGCAAACAAAATGGGAGGGCCTACTAAGCATTTTCATGGTTACCAGGGGAGGTCATGTATGGTACATAAGCAGCAAATGACTGCACCTGCCTCATGTAATCATCACCAACTCTGGAATTATCCTGCATGCATGTTTGTTTGTGTGTTTGTTTGTGTGTGTGTGTGCTGAGTATGCGTGTGTGAGATGGGTTTGTGAGAAATATTCATGTACTGTGTGTGTGTTGAGTATAGTATGCGTGTGTTGTGTGTGTGTATGAGAAAAGTATCCATGTGTGTGTGTGCGCGTGTGTGTGTGTGCGCGTGTGTGTGTGTGCGCGCGTGTGCGTGTGAGAGAGAGAGTATGCGTTTGTGTGCTTGTTTATGTGTGGCTTGATGTGTGTGCCACATCAACACGAAATGGAATTTAGAGAAAGTGAAGAAAGTGCAATGAAAAATTGGCTATTACGTTTATAAGTGATATCATATTAATATTGTCAATACATACATATATGACTTTGCTAGCTGAAAACTGACTACTAAAACAGTTTCAACGGAAACAAGCGGAAGATTTTTGAATAAATAAAAGAAAGTAATTAAATGTACTTACGACATCCATGTCGTAGGCGAAATCTCCTGATAGGGCAAAAAACAACACATTGTTATACACGCAGTTGAAAGTTGCATTAAAGGTTTACTATAGTGTAAAAATCAAAATATAGCCATGAAATTCAAAAATTTTTGTATTAATGTTTTTCAGAATTTAACTCGTATGTTTAATATCATTTCTAATCAATGTACATAAAAATTTACAACTGCTTAAAAATAATTGGAGCATAATGTTCATCATTGATTAGAACAAAAATCATCATTTTCCATTTCAAAAATATATTTAATAAAAATTCTTACACCAAAAAAAACGAGTGTTGAAAAACTGAAACACCATAAGCGAACAGTGAAACAAGGAGTTGAACATTTAAAACAGGTGGGGGACAACGTACCAACATGGAGAACAGCATCAAACAGACTTTTCTGAACCTCCTTCTGAAGACTGGATATGGACTTGCCATTTATTGTGCCCATATCGCCCACCACGGCAAAAGTCGGACTCCAATCTTGACCTTATGTATTAAGAATGTTTAATTCAGGTGATCCGTGGACGTCTTTACAAGCTCATTGCAAATGATATAATTTTATATATAAATGAAAAATACAATATCAATATGTAATTATATTTTTCTCTACTCCCTGCTTAAATCATTGAGTCCCCGTAAACCATATTTGTTATGTGTAATAAAAAAAAACTAAATTAAATTTGAATATAATGAAACAATCATGTCATCTCTTAATTTTGAAAAGTTAACTATCAACAGATATATGCGGCTATGGACCTCAGTTTGAAGATTCATTCAGATTGAGAAACTGTTGCCATTTGGCTGCATTATTTAAAAATATTTGATTTTAATGGAAACATTTAAATACTATAAATTTTTACACTAAATTAAAAACAATAAATCAAAAATACCTTCGACATTTATATTATTCAAAACATTTAACCAAGGTACAAATGTAAAACTGACCTTCTTTCATGGAAGTGAAGAAGAAAATATCACTCCATCTGCCTGTATCACTGCCCACGTGATATACTGTAATGTTGAACAATTGTATTGCAAGCACTTCAAACCATCATTTCATTGTTATGGCATATGCAATGCTTACATATTGACAGATAATAATTTATCCACTCTATATAAAAGTCAGTATTAATTACAGCATTAAACCTTTAGACATTTTAAATATTTTATTGATAAAAGACCAGAAGCCTGCAAGGCTCGTACAGCAGTCAAACATTGTTTATTTATACTAGATATATAACCCATTTTGTAGTGTAGTCAAGGCGCAGTTTATCAATGATGGGTTCCAGTAGCTTAATGGAACATATGCCAATTAAACCTTAGCAAAAAAATATGCTAATTACCCCTTAGAGCATTATGCTAATTACCCCTTACAACTCTTGAAGATGCCTTTTATGATGCACAAAGGTATATATATATATATTTTATTATATATATATATATATATATATATATATATATATGAGTGTAATGTAGGTAGATGAATATTATCACAGACCATAAAATGTGTTAGGGATGAGACCAGTTAAAAGTACTTTGTGAATAAAAAATTTTCTTTTTTCACTTCCACCATCTTCGAACAAAATTGCTTCTCCTTTGGCCACTCTGTCCATACCAGCACCTGCTGAATGGGAGCCATATTCAACAAATGAACCATCAGAATTATCTTGCGTAACCCAGGTTACTATCATTTGAGTCTCATCGTCTAAAGAAAAACATGGATTATCATTATGTTATACAGTTATACATATATTATAACAATCTATAAATGATTAAAATAAAAAATATATTATATGTTATCTATATTATAAATTTGGAAATTTTATGAATTAAAACTTTTTAAAATTTAAACAATAATAAATTCAACCCCACTTCCATGGGTTGATGTATTTTGTCTGGCTGTGTGAAAAACCTTCGTGGTTCCACCACTTTTCAAGGAGAGCAAATCACAGAATTTCTTCAGCAGAGTCAAACTCCCAGGCACAAGAAGATAACAAACAAAAATAACAAAATTCTTTTTTAACTAAACATTTTTATATATACAAAATTCATTTTTACTTTTTTACATTTGATTTGTTCAATTTCAATATAAAAACAGAAAATCACAAGTCAACGAAATTACCACACAGTTCATTTAATAATTCAGATAACTGGAAGATACCATCTGCGGACGTTTTTTACAATTTTTTCCTGTTTGAATTTAAAAATAATAAATAATTTATTTAAAACAATCCGAATCATATGATGGATAAGGATCGCTCACCTGATTGTAAACAAAACAAAAGTGCAATCCATTATATTATATGTATATATATATATATATATATATATATATATATATATATATATATATATATATATATATATATATATATATATTTATTCTATCTATTCAATTTATCTATATATAGAATATAAAAAAAACATATAGTTAATTATTGCGTGTACATATATATATATATATTATATATATATATATATATATTTATATTATATATATAAATATATATATTAGGGATGCACCGAAGTTCGGCCCCAGTTCCGGCCAAAATCCGGCTTTTTTTCAAATCCGGTCGAATCCGGCCCCGGCCGGATTTGGTGGCCGGATTTAGGGCCAGATTTAAGCGTCTATCAACTTTTAAAAATGTTATAAACAGAAAAAAAAATTTTATTGAATTCATTTAATATTATGTCAATAAGTTAAAGGCTAACGCTAAGCTAAAGGCATACATGACACATAATAACAACATCACTAATTGTGAGATAATCTGGACAATTTTCTTTATGCTTTAACATGGGTTATGCATAAATTATAAGCTGATCTTTGCGTAAAAGAACTTGTGCACGTGTACATACTATATATTGATAATTGCACATGACGGATCATATAGCTACATAATATATATATATATATATAGAGAGAGAGAGAGAGAGAAAGAGAGAGAGAGTGAGAAAGAAAGAGAGAGAGAGAGAGATACATAAGCACATAATTTAAGAAAGGTTAGGCTAGGTATACATGACACATAATTACAACATCACAAATTGTACGGTGAGCTGGACAATTTTCTTTGTGCTTTAACTTGGGTTATGCAAATATGCATAAATTATAAGCTGATCTTTGTGTACAGAATTTGGCCACACAACTTATTCATATATTTGAATTAAATAACTATTTGCTTGGTGTTAATTTTTGATGTTCAACATGTAGATAACCGTAAATATGAGTATTTTTTCTAACTTATGTAAAATGGTAACTAAAATCCGGCCCCGGCCGGTTTTTGAATTTTAAATCCGGCCAAGTTCGGCCCCGGCCGGATTTGAAAAACCTGAATCCGGTGCATCCCTAATATAAATATATAATGTAGGGTTAAGTTACGTACTATGGCTCAACTCTTAAGCAATAAATAACCATGTATCAACTATAAATTTAATCAATCAATCAATCAATCCATAAATTTTTTAAAGCTCATGTTCAACAGCGCTCCTCATTAAATTTTGCAAACAGATTAGCTTTGAGATCCGCTCTTAACTTCGTGAGCTAGTGAAAAAAGATGAGAGAAGGACCAAGAAAGAGGAAAGCAGATTTAGCATATGATTAACAGCAATTAAAAAAAAGTGAAAACACGAAAACGGTTGTAGAACGGGTCATTTACGTTTGATTAAAATATTTGATAACAAATACTTAGGAAATAATTTAGAATGATATTTTACTGGCAAACAGAACTAAAGAAACTTGAAAATGATTTAAGATCAACCGTTAGAAAAATCGAAAGTTAAATGGGAGTTAATTAACGTCGAACATGCTGTGATTTTCATCAATAATTGCATATATATATATATATATACATATATGAGTTATTAAGTTTTTTTTATTGTACCTCCTCTCCAACGCAAATCCATCTTGGTCTAAATGTTTTGTATTTTTATTTATCGGCTGTGTTATAAATTAACTTATTGGTGAGAAAATTGGATATAATTGTGAGTTTGGCAAAATTGCTAAGAACCTGTCACCCAGGACGGATCTCCGATTTAACCCTCTTCTGTTATCTCTATAAACCTCTAAACGAACCACCATATTATAAAAAACTGTAAACGGATCTAGACTATGCTGACGGGGGGCCAAAAGTTTTACATTTGGAAATTTGACCGATGAGCCAAGAAATTAGCCAAAATATTTGCTAGTGTGGTCAAAATTAGGCTGTCGACAGTTTATTCCTGTTTATAAGATGAATTTTACTGACTTTCAATATGAATGCTGCTACACTGATTGCAAAAGTTGAATTCGATGGGTTATTAAAGGGTTTCTAAGGTATGGTCTGAAAAAATGTCCATTTTATTATATGCCATGCTATACTGCAAGAATATTTATTGAAATTGAATGTATCCAACATTACATGATATTATATTTAAGATATTGTAGCTATTAAATGTATTTTTTCTAATTTTTTCGCAATTTCTTTAAATTGAAGTAATGTTTCTAAGGTTAGAATTTAATATAAAGTTATTGCATTAGAGATAATAATAATAAGACATTAAAAAGTAAGATGTTATTTGAACCTGGGCATTGTTCGAGATTAGCGTACAAAAGCGAGTGTCGAGTGAGCTTTTGTGTGCATTTCTTGAATTGAATTGAACATTCAAGTTTTGTATTTCGTTCAATCAAATTTGTCTTGTGTATTCCAAGTAATCCCTTCACAAAGAAGACCTGATCGAATTCATGCTTGACTAATTTACAAGCAAAGAGATTAACTGGTCTCATTGTTACAAAGATTTGAAAACAAATCTTTTTATTAAAATATGTCGTCTACAATTTATTTTACCAATTTATTACAGAAAAATTATTTTCAACATAATCATTACTTTTTTCTTCTTCAGTTGTGCCTCAATGATGTAGTAAAAAATTTTGTGGAGAAGGTTTCGTTTTCCTAAGAACAGCTGGTGACCATTTCTTGTTCTTGGGAACAAATAACACTAAATATATCAAATCTTTCAAAAAGGCCGATGTGTCTCCGGATAGAAAATTTGCCAAAGTGGCATTTTCAGTAAAATTCTACTCTTCTGGCAAAAACCATGAAACTTATTCTTTATAATATAATATGAATAATATGATGCACAGTTGAAATTCCAGAATTCATTCTATCATTGGGCCGGGCGTGGCATAAATCGATGGAATGGGTTAAGTCATGACGTTATTGATATGAGCAACTTAAAAGCCTTCAAACTTTCACTTAAAGAAACTGTTATCAATGTTAATTAATTGTATATTGTTTTTTATTTCCTTATTAATCTAAGTGCGAATGAATGTATACCATCCGAGTTAAGTTGAATGGACATATTTCTAAATCTGGTTATGTGACTTTATTCGATTATAATGTTCGTGCAAGTATTGTTGTAAGAGAGGCGTAAGAAGTAGCTTGGAGAAAAATAAAAGTTGTTAACCCATCGTTATTTTGATAATTCTTACTTTTATTTTAATAGATGTTTCATTTTGTAAAAGACCCGGGCAGTAGACTGCTTTCCTCTAACTCCGGCTCAAATGTTACTGAACACTGATCTGATCATAGAAACATGTAAACTAGAAGAATTAACAAAAGTTATCAAAGTGTACTGATTTATATTTTATTGAAGTTAAATGTGATTGAGTTCATACATTAAGCTAGATGAAAAAAATGATATATGAATGTTTCTACCAACTCCACAGAATAAGATCATTCAGTTGTTTGTTGCAGTTAAGTCGTTTGTAGTTTTATATGCGGAAGAAGTGACTACTGCAATGCGATTATGATTACTAACCTCAATAACAATGAAGAACAAAGAAATGACAACAACAAAGATGAAAAATACGACACCAACTGAGTAACTCACTCTGCTAAAGAACTAATTTTGATGTGTTTAAAGAAACTATATAAACCAAACCAGCACTGAAGATGATTTGTGAAAAATTGAAATATGGCCTATCTGCATGATGAATTTGGATAACAACAGTTTCATTAAATTTGGATAATAATTCTTTTTTCAATTAATTGAACAATTTCCAAAAAATTCTAGTTAGGAAATTTGAAAAGACAAAGATTAAATTGATTAATGCCAACAATTCGGTAGAATTCATCCAATGCTGTATAAAATATGGCCACCTTTCAACATATATATATATATATATATATATATATATATATATATATATATATATATATATATATATATATATATTAGAGTGTCCCAGAAATGCACGGAAATTTTTTTTTTTTAATTAGTTGATGTCTCACCCTCTGAAAAGTGTCTCTTAGGTACAATAATTAAATTGGTGAAGTTACACCTCATTTGAATAAGTTTGAGTGGTTTCCCAAGGGCTTTTAAAATTTTACTATCGAGTTAATTCAAAATCCATATCAATAATCTTAAACAATATGCACAAAATGAGTGAAATAAAGCTAGAAATGCAAACTAGTTTAATTATCTCACTGCAGACATTAATTATAGTTTAAAATATTATTAACAATTACCTGTGGAATGATAATCTTTATTAGAGAATGCAAAAAATGTATATTTTTAACCAGTCAACTCGCTGTGTTACTGGTGTGGTCAACGTAGATCGGTTGCCTGTCCTGCTCTCATCCCTTGTTGATGGCACTACAAAACTTCTTGGAGTTCCAAGGTTAGCATCTGGATTAGGACGAGCAGCTGCTGATGCAGTTCATGAACAGATAAAATCTTGAAAGTGTGAATCAATGGTTATTGGCATGTGCTTTGACACGACAGCTTCCAATACTGGAAAACTCAATGGAGCTTGCACTCTTCTAGAAAAAGCCATGGGACGTAATTTAGTATGGATGGCTTGCCATCATCATAAGTTTGAAGTGCTGCTTGCCGGTGTATATAGTGTTTGTCTTGGAACATCCACTGGACCAGAAATTTTATTCTTCAAAAGGTTTCGTGAAAAATGGACAGAAATGAATCACACACCAGAAGCCAGATCAACCCCTTTGATAATTGTTTCAGATGCAATTAAAGCATTTATCAAATGTCAACTTGAGGTCAGACATTCTCGAGATGACTATTTAGAGTTTCTACTTCTTGCTGCACAAATAGCTGAACTGCAAATAGCTGAAAACACTACCACAAAGTTTTGACAATTTGCGTGCGTCTAAAACATTTTTTGAAACATCTAATATTGATGCCAGTTTTCTTGATGTACTTGTTGAAAACTGGTCAGATACTCCTTCTTTCCAAGTTGCAGCAGTGTTTATAAAGAATCTGGTTTGCATCAATGACTCTGCAGAACGGGGAGTAGCGTTGGTACAACATTTCAATGAAACAATCACCAAAGACGCAGAGCAGAAACAATTTTTGCTTCAAGTAGTTGAACAGCATAGGAAAAACTTTGCAGATTATAATCGTGAACTGCTAGCAAAAAATGAAAATTTTGCGCATTAATTAATATTCAAGAAAAGTGAAATTCAATAAAATCTTTTTTTTCAATCATTTTTGACCTAATTTGAAAAATTAAAAAATAAAAGGCATTGCAGATTTATATATTTTTTCACAATTATATATTTTGTTTCATTTGTATAAACAAATCATAAAACATTTATAATCATATCATATAACACTGTCTAAAAAGTTGGTAGCGAACGATCAAACACCAAAATCGGAAACTTTCGACCCCTTGGGGGACCTCTAAACATTGTCAAAATGGGCTAAAATTTAGCAGGTAAATTACTGTTACCATACAGACATATTTAATGGGGTGAGACATCAATATTTTAAAATTTCATATTTTTGGGACACCCTAATATATATATATATATATATATATATAATACTGTATATAAATATACATGTTGGTGCACGCACATGTTTGTGTATATTCACTTAGAATGGGACACAGACACACAACACAGACAGATGTAGAGAGGTGTGTGTGTATATAAAGGAAAGCATTGATATTGACGAATGCAAATGTAGTCCAGAAGAGCTGCCGAGAAAGATTAGGAGCGTATATAATCGTCAGAGCTACTCAAGCGTTCGTCCACGACTCTATATATTCATCATCCATAATTAGTTAAGTTACAACTGCGAGGTACTTTGCTTAGTTTGCTGGGAGTTTGTCTGTTAGAGAGTTGAAAAGATGGCAATAAAATTATTTTTATCTTCTTTCGCTCTTATCATCTCCATCTCACCTTTCTGCTGCAAAGGTCAGTTCATCTTTTAAAAATTTATTTGTTATATTGGATATTTGTATGTTATTATTTGTGTATTGTCGTTTGTATGTTGATCCTCATTTTTTTGTATATATTTGTTCAAATTTTAAATACATCGGCAACATTTTTAATATGATTCTTAAATTATGACTAAATTGAAAGATAAGTTAATAATTTTGAATCATATAGGTGTCAAACTTTACTCTTTAATGAATTGCTTGTAAGCCGATTTAAACGATTGAAAATCACACGTTGAATTTTTTAGTAAAGTTCACAAGATTACTCTTTAATTGAAAATGTTTACTACATCAACATCAATGAAACTATTTGTGTTATTTTCACATGACATGGAATCCTTATGTGAATCTTGTAAGGGTGCTAATAACTTTCAATTTGTAACCGGTTTGAAAAAATATTCAATTAGTTTATTTCCTCCTCAACATGAAAAATTGAAGTCGTAACTGGAAAAATTAATAGAAAAAATGTTAATTAGAATGCACAAATTATACCGAAAAAAATTTTAGACCTTTTATATAAATTTTGAAGCCATTTAAAAATTCGTTTTTCAAAGAAACAGAGTTATGAGACTGCCAGAAATATATTTCCCGTTGGCAACGTTGACTTTCGCGTTTTATCGAATGAGAGCGTGCATGGCGAGCATGAAAATATAACGATGTAACGTCGATCGCTCCATTTTTGCCTCTGTCGCAATTTATTTCATTATCCTATGATACCAACAGCCTCTATTTATCCATATCATTTATTTATCATCATCAACGTCAAGCGGTTTTATGAGTTCATTTTAAGGATTTATAAATAAAATGTAGTTGGATAAAAGGTAGGAACACAGCGTCAAAACATCGTTCCCATGAAGCAGCGCAATACTAACACCTGTTTGGGTTTTGTTTGAATTCTATGGTCACTTAAGTTTCAAAGGATCCTTTCTGTTAGTGATTGCATGTGGAATTTTTTTAACTAATTATTATTCATAGTTCTAGAAATTCAACAACATGACTTAAAATCTTAAGATAAAAATTTACGAAGATGTTAGTTTTGAAAAAGTTTTATTGAAGAAAACAATGTGTGAAGTTGTGTGATACTTTCGTCAATAAACTTTTTAATAAATGACAAAATATGCAAATTCGTGTGCAGGCTTCTGACAATGACACTTTGAAATTTGACCGACACCACAATGCACACACTGTCAAAGAAAATACATCTATTAATCATTCGAATGCCTTCAAGAAAGTCTCTCATACTTTCCTGCTTGCATCGTTCCTAACTTCATTTTTTGACTTCACAGTTCACACTTCCTGATGAAAATCAATTTTGGTAATGAAAAAATAATTTCTGCTTGTTTATAGATAAAAACAAGTTTCTTGTCGCCATGCAGCAACTGCAAACAGGATTTTTCGCATTCAGCAGTCAGCTAGCTAGCTACTCAATACTATTTAATTGAGACTTAAGACGGAATTTTTTAATCTTTAAATACAAACGAAAACAGAAAATGAATATCCAATTATTTTCTCATCAGTAAATTGGAAAATTGCTCCGGTTTTGTTATAGAAAAATACGGCGTCTTCAAAAGTAGCGTAAAAATATACACACGCATACACGCACGCGCACATGCACGCACACACATACACACACACACACAAGCACATACACACACACACACACAAGCACACACACCTTTAGACAAGAGTCAAAATTTAGACATGTTTTTGGATTTGTATCCTCATTCCGTCTTAAAAATTTTGTTTGCAGCAATTTTCGAACTGCACCAAGCATTTCTTATTTGATTAAAACTGTTTGGTGGAAATATCAAAAGCAGTTAATCAATTGAGGACATGATGTTTTCAGTACATGCTTGGTTATTTAATTTTTTTTTTAAATGTATGACGGACATTGTTAAAAATCATCTCGTAAGCATTCTGACTTAAAATATTATTGGTTGATATTAACGAATACACCTGAATGCTAACTTCTTTTGCATGGGACGAGTGCAGAGGAGTGCAGAGGAGTGCGAGGTTGACAGGCACCCGGGGTAGCAAGGCCGATCGGTCTTAAAATGTTTGCAACTCACATTTACATAACTAAATAAAAACAGCTAACACAAACAAATCTGGAAAAATAACAGCCAACTTTTCTAGGTGCTAAATAATTGCACTAAGTACGTTTTCCAAGGATTGATTCCATATCACACTCAAGCTATTTTATCATTTATTTGTTTACGTTTAGGAGGCCTAACGATAAATATTTTGTGTGTGACTTTAGTATTTAAAAAAAAAATTTCATGACATTTGGTTCTCATAGCACTTTCTATAGAAGTAAGTTGAACGTTGTAATTTATATACAACAGGTGAGTTTTAGATCAACGAAGCAGATTCTCTGCAAAAATTAAAATGATTTTGTGTTTGGTCAGCGGCTTCCAGTCCTACCTAAGTTTCAGGATGACTTGGTTTCGTTGGTTGTCAATTTAAAAGATTGCTCAACTGAAATAAATACTCATGTGCGTAATGCGTAATAAATGTGTAATGCGTTATAAATGTGTAATGCGTTATAAATGTGTAATGCGTAATAAATGTGTAATGCGTTTTTGGTTTGTTACTAATCAGGTGCCTTCGTTTGAAAGATATCACATACACGAGTTTCAAATGAGCGATTCATTGACTGGCTAACTCACTGGCTGGTTGGTGTTAAATGTCCGACTGATTGATAAAAATACAGTAAAACTTATTCAGTAAATTTTATAGTTAATTGCAAATTGTTACCACTTCAAAAAACCTCATAATAAACAATAAAAATTTTCGTTAGTCGTGTTTTTTTAATTCACGGAACATTTCAAACATAAAAATGGAAAGAGTCACGCGAGGCTGATAGAAATAGACATCTTAGAAAAACTTCAAGAGCCGTTCGTGAATAATTTTTCAGGATCAAACAATTGTTTTAAGAGATAATGGTTATTAGTAAACTGGAAATCTCGTTAAGAAATTTGAAAATGTTGCACAATAATAACTGAGTATAATTGTTGAGACTGCCAGCCAAACAACAACTGTACTGTACACTTTTAATGGCATTCTTATGTCACATATCATCATAAAATTTGAACTTACTGACAAACCTCTAACAACTACGTAACACATTTTGATAACCTCAACCAGACATGATGACATCTGGCATGATTTGCTAACATTTAAGGTTTCGCAGCTTTCAGAGAGTTTACCTTTTTGCGCATAAGTTTAAAAAAATTTGTGGGGAGTTGTTGATGAGACTTCTCCTAACAAATTTGAACAGTACTTCTGGGAGGTTTGCAGTGAATTTCGACCAGTGAGCAATTCTAGCTGCGGGAATCTGGTCTTTGATCACTTTTAAAATTGTCCCTTGGCAACGGAGTAGCGATAGATGTTCGAGTTTTGCATTTTGTTGTTTGATCGTTAACATGCTGAGTGCCGGTTTTATATCCTTTGAGTCAGGAAGCAAATTGTCGATTTTTATATAATTGCTATAGGACTCGCTCCATAAACATTTAAGTTCTTCGCTGCCGTTTGATTTCAGGTAGCTACGGAGTTTTAATCTCAAAGATTCGGCAAAATTTTTGAGAGATCTAACGTTTAGACCGCCTAGTTTATATGGGAGCGACAATGTCTCCGACAGACAGCTACTAATGGGCAATGACAGCTTTGATCTTACTGTTTCGGTGATTAGGGTGTCCAGATGCATACTAATCCAAGTCAGTGAAATGTTGTACATGCGAAATTCAAACGCAAATTGAGATGGAAGATATTTTCTAAGGATTTCAAGCTTCTACTGAACTGTTGTATCCAGTTCACTGACGGTTGCTAGTAATGTTTTGAGTTTGATGATCATCTGGTTTTTGGCGTTCGTGTTGTTGCCTTTGAAATCATATTTTTTCCCCAGATATTCGAAATAACCTCCGATGTCAACAAGGGGAATTTGTTTGATGTCGATCGATTGCGCCGAAAGGAATTGTTCGTAAACCCCGCTGCGTTTTCGCATACCGAACGAGAAACACTTGTCAGTTCTCAAACTCATTTCAGTTGCTTTGCCCCAAGCGTGATTTATATCTATGAGTTTTTGAGCACTTTCGGTGCTGTTGGCGATAATGGCCGTGTCGTCTGCGAACTGAAGCCACGCTCTTGTCTTTAAGCTGGCTGACGGACCCCATATGTACCCGCATTGTTGGTACTCTGTTTGTTCTATGACTTTCAT